CATTTAACAGATGAGGAAACTGAGGCAAATGGGACTAAGTGACTCACCCAGGGTCACAACACTAGTGGTTTGCCATTTTCTTCTCCAGCTCATTTAACAGATGAGGAAACTGAGTCAAATGGGATTAAGTGACTCAACACAGCTAGTAAGTGTCTGAGGCCAGATTTGAACTCAAAAAAAGGACTCTTCCTGACCCCAGGCCTGGTGCTCTATCCACTTCCCAGTTAGAAGATGGAGTTTCTTGTTCAGGAAGCAGAAAGCAGGTTGGTCACTGAATCACAGGATGGTGTGTAAAGTATAAAAAGACTGGAAAGGAGGAGGGGTGGCTGGTTATGAAGGGCTTCAAAGCTATCCAGAGGGTTTTATATTTCATGTTGGAGGCTATAGGAAGTCAGGAGCCACTAGAGCAGGGGTGGAAGACCTGGGCCTCAAGGCTGCAGGTTCCCTACACCTGCACGAGAGTTTATTGAATAGTGGTGGGGTAAGACGGTCTCCACTATAGGAAGATCGTCTTGACAGAGGAGAAGGTGGACTGGAGTGGGGAGAGACTTTAGGCAGGGAGACCAACCAGAAGGCCCTTGCAATAGTCTCGAGGTGGTGGGTGCCTGCACCAGCGTGGTGGCAGTTGCCAGAGAGCAGAAGGGGGGCAAATGCAAGAGATGTCTTGAAGGTAAAATCAACAGGCTTTGACAACAGGTTGGATTTGGGGAGTGAGAGTGAGTGGTGGAGGATGACACCTAGTTTGTGCGCCTGGCTGGCGGGAAGGGTGGGTGGGCCCCTTGACAGAAAAAGGGAGGGTTTTGGGGAAAAGATAATGAGTTCAGTTTTGAATAAGTTGAGCTGCAGATGTCTTCAGGACACCCCAGTTTGAGATATCTAATAGGAGATATGAGACTGGAAGTCAGAAGAGAGGTTAGAGTGAGAGGAATAGATTTGAGAGTTATCAGCAGAGAGATGATAATTGAATCCATGGTTGCTGATGAGGGCACCAAGTGAAGTATTGTGGATGGAGAAGAGGGCCCGGGACAGGGCGCTGTCGAATACCCACTGTACTTGGGTGTGACCAATGAACACCTAGCAAAGGAATCTGAAAAGAGCAAGCCTGTGAGTAGGAGTTTGGTGTCCCAAAATACAAATATAAAACTCCTTGAGCATAGGGACTGTTTTCACGCTTTCTCTGTATTCTGGCCTGGCACATAGTAAACACTTAATAGATGCTTGTTGAATGTTTGTTTAAAAGTAATGAAATGGGAAAAAGGGGTAAGTGGGCAAAGGTGATTTTGGCCTATTTCCTAGTTTTGCTGAAGATATAGTAGGGCAGGGGAAGCTAGGTGGCGCCATAGTGCACAAAGTCCGGGGCCTAGGGTCAAAAAAAAAATCATGCTGGAGAGCTCAAATGTGGCCTCAGACACTTACTAGTGGTGTGATCCTGGGCAAGTCACTTAACCCCATTTGACTCAGTTTCCTCATCTGTAAAATGAGCTGGAGAAGGAAATGGCAAACCACTCCAGTATCTTTGCCAAGAAAACTCCAAATGGGGTCATGAAGAGTCAGACACAACTGAACAACAAATGTTAGGGTGTGGGGTGGGTGGGAGGGAGGAGTGGTAGAAACAGAATTAAGAGGGTAGTTAGGGCACAGATTCTCCTGTTTTCTATACCTTCAGTTGTTTATGCCATATTTAAAGTCTTGGAATCAGTGCTTGAAAGTTGGCTGTGGACATTAGCTATGTCAAAGAAAACCTATCCCTCTGAGAGCTCCCATTCCTCTGGGGAGAGAAGGCCGTGAATCTACCTAGAACCAGTATTCTCTTGTTCCAGTCTCCTTGAGAAGCAGCAGCAGTACTAGAAGCATTAGGCCTGGGTTTGAATCAGCTGAGACCTTGGGTAGCTCACCTCCCCTTGCTGAGCCTGTTTCCTCCTCTAACCAAAGAGGCAATAATTATACTCAATGACTTGTCAAGTCTCTCGGCCTTTAAATCTATGACTTGCAGGCCCAAGTTCTTGATGAATCTGAACTGGTCTCTCTTTTTCCTTTTCTTTTTCCTGTCTCTTTTTTTCCTTTCTCTTTTTCCTCCTCTGTAAAATTCTGGATGTTGGAATAGCCGGTCCCTTAGTTGGAATATTTGATGATCCTATTCTCCCGTCTTCCTCTGCTTTCCCCAGGTTGGCTTCTTCAAAAGGAATCGCCCACCCTTAGAAGAAGAAGAGGAAGAGGAATAAATAAGTACTCCCTCTCCTTCCTCCCTCCTACCTTGAAGGAAGGCCTGGTCTCTTACCTGGGCTTGTTACCCTCACTGCCCTTCCTTCTCTCCTTTGGTCGTATCCACCTGCCCCGACCCTCTAAAGCCACTCTTTGTGTGTGTGGAGGGTGAGGGAAGGAAGGCACCCTGAAACCCAGCCAGACAGCCCTCTCAAATCCAGGCTTCTCTTGCTATTCTCCCTCTAAAAAATGAACCCCAATAAATGAATCTAACATTTATCACATATGGTTCTGTCTTCTATGATCAGAGAGGGCGGGTTTGGGAAGGACTTGGCCTGGATGCCCTCTGGAGACTAGTATTTCTAAGGTGTGGTGGTCAGTGGAGGAACTGGAATTAGAGAATATGAGGGGGGCATATCTGGGTCAATCTCTTTGTGAGTTATTAATTTTTTTTGTCTCCTGTCACTATAGATAAATCCCCATTCAACCTCGGCCCGAGGCATCTGGGTGAGGGTGGTAAGGATGTAGAAAGTGGTGGTTGGGAGTAGGGGGAGGGAGTGTGAGAATGTGAAAGAGCAAAGATGGGATTAGGAATGAGAAAGTGGAATGGGGGAGGGAGTGGAATTGGAGGGAGGGGGATGGAAAGGGAGTAACAGTGAGGAATAGGAAGCAGAGGAATAGAATGGGAAGGAAGGGAAGGAATGGGAGGAAGAGGGTGAAATGGGAAGGAGGGAGGTAGAATGGGAGGGAGGGAAGGGGATAGGAGGAAGAGGGTGAAATGGGAAGGAGGGAGATAGAATGGGAGGGAGGGAAGGAGATGGGAGGAATAGTGTGGAATGGGAAGGAGGGAGATAGAATGGGAGGGAGGGAAAGGGATGGGAGAAAGAGGGTGAAATGGGAAGGAGGGAGGTAGAATGGGAGGGAGGAAGGAGATGGGAGGAATAGTGTGGAATGGGAAGGAGGGAGATAGAATGGGAGGGAGGGAAAGGGATGGGAGGAAGAGGGTGAAATGGGAAGGAGGGAGGTAGAATGGGAGGGAGGGAAGGGGATAGGAGGAAGAGGGTGAAATGGGAAGGAGGGAGGTAGAATGGGAGGGAAGGGACAGGGAATAGAAAGGAGAGTGGAATGGAAGGAGGTGAAATAGGAGGGAGAGGATTTAGGATTGTCTGATGAACAGTGAGGAGGGGAGCACTAGGATGAGACAGGATGGAATCTAGAGGTGGGGGGAGCAATGGGAGAGTTTAGCAGTAAGTAAGGAACAATAAATCCCTTTGATTCAGGCACTAGGTAAATATGTGTTGGTGATAATGGCAGGCTAAAACCAAGAATGAGCTGAGATGTGCAGAAAGTACTGAATGGGAGAGAAAGGGCTTTTCCACATATATTTAGAAAGAAGAAAAGCAAAGCAGGGAAGGTGTGTGCTGCTTGGGGAAGATGTGTAAAGGGGAGATCTTTGTACCAGCCCAGCACCTAGCAAAGTCTCATCATGGTGGACAGAAAAACGTGGGCTGGATTACAGATGGATTCCTGGCTGGTCAAGCCATCTTACTCAAAGAATGGATGTTACGGACAAAGTAAAGATCTCTGTTCTTCTCCTAATATAAGCGCTTGTGACTCTAGGTGAATCATTTTATCTTGCTAAGTCTCAATTTTCTCATCTGCAAAGTGGAAATAATACTTGTACTACCCACCTCACAGGATTTTGTGAGGAAATTGCTTTATAAATCTTAAAAATGCCTTCTAGCCAGTTAACTTCCAGACAAGATGACTGCCTAAATAAAAATAGAAAGATAAGTTCCCACATTACTAAGCAGAAAAATACCTAAAAGTCAAACCGCATCATACAATGATCAAGACATTTGAAGCAAAACCAAGATAGGTGAGTTCTCTCAGTCCAGAACTACACAAAAAGTCAGCCAGAAGCCCATAGGCAATGGGAAAGGGGACCACCAACAAAGCCATCCTCCCCCTTCCCCAGCCCCCTACCACACACATAGGCAAACAAGCCAGCTGCCTCCCACTGTCAACAGACACTGGCCAGGGAAATACATAAACCACAAGGCTCTATGTCCAGAGACAACAAGTGTGGAAGCTTCCCCAGAAAAGTCACAGGGTAGGGGCAGCTAGGTGGCGCAGTGGATAAAGCTTCGGCCTTGGAGTCAGGAGGACCTGAGTTCAAACCTGGCCTCAGACACTTGACACTTATTAGCTGTGTGGCCCTGGGCAAGTCACTTAACCCCAATTGCCTCACCAAAAAAAAAAAAGTCATAGGGTGGTCACAAAGCTCTATGATGATGGGAAATACCACCTAGGGACCAGGAACAGCAGGAATCAGCGTGGCTAAGTCAGAACTCAGACCAGGCCAGCTGAGGAGTCCAAGGGCTCCTAGCTCTCTGTCCTGAGATGCCATAGAAGTCCCTAAAGATCTATTATTCTGCACCTCAAAAATCCAGGAGGGCCTCACTCTGGGAGGTGGCACCAAGCGACCTTCAGAGACAACGAGCATGGCTGGCCCGCCAAATCAAAAGCGCAGCAAGGCTTAGAGCCCGCCCCAATTCATATTCTAAAGCCAGAGAGATAAGTAAACAACAATAACTTACCAACTGGTACGAACACTTGCTGCAGCTCTAGAGATGCCCCGAAAATCCAATGTAGAGAGAGCAACTAACTCCATAAACATCTGTAAGCAGAGACTCAAGGAAAAAACGGATTTTCTACAAGGACTATATTAAAACCTAGAAGAAATGAAGTAAGAAATTAAAAAAATGAAATGCAAGCTCTGAAGGAAAGAATTGAAGAGCTAGTAAATATCTCAGAAGGGAGAGCAGTTAACTTTACCCACTCTCTAAAAATTAGAATAGATCAAACAGAAGTCAATGATTCCTGGAGATAGCAAGATATATTAGAACAGAACCAAAACATTGAAAAATAAAAGTTGATGTAAGATATCTGAAATCAAAAACAAATCACCTGTAAAATGTCAAGGAGAGACCATTTAAGAATCACTGGATTCCTTGAAAACCATGAAAAAAAAAGCCTGGATGATGCTCATATCTATTAAAATTATAGGGCAAAGTGAACACAGAAAGGATCTCCCAATCTCTTCCTGAAAGGAACCCCGAAGGAAAAGTCCCAGGAATGTCCATAGCCAAATCCCAGAACTTTCACATCAAAGAAAAAATACTGCAAGCATCCAAGTAACTGACGTCAGGATTGACTATGACCAGGCAGCTTCTACTATAAATGAGAGAAGATTTTAGAATATAATATTTTAAAAGGTAAAAAATATGAGATTCAAACCAAGAGTAATTTACCCTGCAAAGCTGAGTATCAGCCTACAGGGAAAGAAATGGATCTTTAATGGAATAAAGGACTTTCAAGCATTTCGGATGAAAAGACCAGAGCTGCAGAGAGACTTTAAAATACAAACACAGGACAAAAGAGAAACTTAGGAAAGTAAATTTACTTGAGCAATTGGAATGACCTGTATGATGATGCAGTGCTAATATCTAATAAGAAGAAGAAACAAGCCTCTTGTCAGAACTTTAATGTCTTCATAGGGTGTGGAGGAGAGGGTGGATTAGTTCTGTTCTGAAGGTTTTAAGAGAAGAAAGAGAAGGAAGAGTAAAAGGAATACACACCAGTATAGAAAGAAGGAAGGAGAAGTGAGTGGAACTTGCTATTTTTTCATAACTGAGATGCTTGAGGATGGAGTAAATGATGGGAGGGCATGGGCATTAGATGAACTTCTCAATCTGGGATAGAAAAAGGATTAAACACACACATACACAAACACAGTTTTGTGTAGAAATACATCAAACTCAACAGGGAAACCAAGGAGAGAAGAGTCCCAAGAAAAACAAACCTTCTAATCCAAAAACAAAGAATTAGAATCTAAGGGGATTCCCTATCCATTGCAGAATGGCTGAACAAATTGTGGTATGTGAATGTAATGAATGTTTTTGTGCTCTAGGAAATGAGAGAAAAGATGATTCCAAAGAGACATGGTAAGACCTGTATGAACTGATGCAGACTAAAATGAGCAGAACCAAGACAATAATTTGTACAAAGACAGCATTGATGAGAGCAAGGGGAAGACAAAAGTACAGAAAGCTTGTCAGCTGGAAGGTAGGTCACATGTTGTGGTGAATGGTGTGCTAGGCTTCAATCAGGCCCTAGGATCTACACTTTTCTAGTTGGAGGGAGGGAAGGAGGAAGGAAGGGGGAAAGGAAGGAGAGAAGGAAGGAGGGAAGGATCAAGGAAAGAAGGAGGGAGGGAAGGAAAGAGGGAAGGAATGAAAGATGCAAAGAAGGAAGGAAGGAGAGGAGGAAGGAAGGAAGCAAAGAAGGAAAGTTGGAAGGAAGGAAGAAACAAGGGAACGAATAAGGAAGAAGGAAGGAAGAAAAGAAGGAAACATTTATTAAGCAACTACTGTGTCCCAGGCACTGTGCTACAAGCTTTACAAATAATGTCTCATCTGCTCCTCACAACAACCTGGGGAGGTAAGTGCTATTATTATTCCTATTTTACAGGTGAGGAAACTAAGATAGAAGAGAGAGGTTCATCAGCTTGCCTGGGGTCACACAACTGGTGAGTGTCTGAGGACTAATTTGAACTGAGATCTTTCTGACTCCAGGCCCAATGCTCCATTCATGGGCCAGTCATTGAACGATTCAGGGCCTGAATCTGTAAAATTGGGATGATAATACCTCAGAGGGTGGCAATTAAGAAAGCCCTTTGCAAACCTTAAAGTGATATATAATATGAATTTTTTAAAATTGTTCTCAACTTAATGAACACCCTTCTCCCAAAAGAACATTTCTATATATAAAATAGTATAGAAAAAGAAGATTCTACAAGAAACAACAAATCTGTATTACAGACAACTTGCTTTTAAAAATATATAGAGAGAGGGGCAGCTAGGTGGCCCAGTGGATAGAGCTCCAGCCTTGGAATCAGGAGGACCTGAGTTCAAATGTGGCCTCAGACATTTGACACTTACTAGCTGTGTGACCCTGGGCAAGTCACTTAACCCCAATTGCCTCACCAAAAAGCAAAAACAAAAAAACAAAAAACGTATATAAAAAATTCAACATAGAGACACCTAAGTGGCCTAATGGATGTCACACTGGGCCTGGAGTCAGGAAGACTTCATTTCAAATTCAGTCTCACAAACTCACTAACAGTGTGACTCTGAGCAAATCATTTAACCAATGTCTAACTCAGGTTCTTTATCTGTAAAATGAGGATAATAATAACACCTACTTCTCAGGATCAAAAGAGATAATATGTGTAAAGTGCTTTGCAGACTTTAAAGTGCTATATAAATGCTAGCTATTACTATTATGTACAATTTGATTTTTAAAATATATATAATAAATTGAACATGTTACTTTTAAAGCTGTCCTGTTTCTGTTTTCTTCCAAACCTTTTCTCTATTCTCTTCTAGATATTTTTTAAAATGCATCAATGTTTCTTTTGTCTTTCTTTTCTTCTTTTTTTTTTTGGGGGGGGGGAGGAGATGCTACCGTATGCCTGATCTTTCTTTTCCTCTCATCCCACTGGAAAAGAAAAGAAAAAGACAACTCTTGTAACAAAGATGCATAGTCAAACAAAACACATTTTCACATTGGCTGTGTCCAAAAATGTATATCTTATTCTGCATATTAAATCCATCTCTGTCAGGAGGAGGTGTAGTTTGCTTCATCAATGGTCCTCTGGAATCGTTATTGGTATTTCACTGATCAGAGTTCTTAAGTCTTTCAAAGTTATTTTTCATTACAATATTGTTGTTGTGTTTTGTTATTGTTTGGTTGTATCCAACTCTATGTGACCTGCATTTGGGATTTTCTTTGGCAAAAATACTGGAGTGAAGGGATTTGTCATTTTCTTCTCCAGCTCATTTTACAGATGAGGAAACTGAGGCAAACAAGGTTAAGTGACTTTCCTAGGATGCTTAGCTAGTAATTGTCTGAGGCTGAATTTGAACTCAGGTCTTCCTGACTCCAGGCCTGGCACTCTAATGGCCCCATTTTATTTATAACATTTATTTGTGATTGTATATTTGTTATTGTATGAGTCTTTCCAAGGTTCTCTGAAACTGTCCCTTTCGTCATTTCTTCTGGCATAATAATATATCTTTACATTGTTCTACTCTAATTTGCTTAGCCATTCTCCAACTGATGGGCATCCTCTTTGTTTCTAATAATTTGCTATAATAAAGAGAGCTGCTATAAATTTTGTACGAATGTGGTGGTATCTTTGGGTCAGAGGGTATTTACAGTTTAATGACTTTCGGGGCCCAGACAGTTCCAAGTTGCTTTCCAGAATGGCTAGACCAATCCACAGTTTCACCAACATTCACCAGTGTGCTAGAATGTGAGCTTATCAGTCATAGGGATAAAAGGGCTGTGTAGGAAAGGTGGTCTGCATGATACACTGTCTCTGGAAACAGAGGACCTGAATTCCTATTTGCTCACTGACTAAACAGTAGCTTGATGGTACAGTAGGCAGGGTGTTGGATTTGGAATTCAGATGAAATGAATACAAATCCCAGATCAGACCCTCACTAACTGTGTGGCTCTGGGCAAGTCACTTAACCTCTCCACCTCAGTTTTCCTCCTCTGAAAAATGGAGATAATAATAGCACCTATCTCACAAGGCTGTTGTAAGGATTAAATGAGATAACATTTGTAAAGCACTTCGAAAACCTCAAAATGATATATAAATGCCATGTGACTCTGGACAAATACAATTATTATGTAAGTTATTGTCACCTAACCTCCCTGGGCCTCAGATTTCTCATCAGTTGAAAGAGAAAGACCGAGAGAAAAAGAGACAGACAGACACAAGCGGGGGGGGGGGGGGGGGGGGGGGGGGGGTGAGTTGGACTAGGTGGCCTGGGGGTAGGGGAAGGAAAAAGCCCTGCCTTCAAATATGTGAAGGACATAGTCTTATTCTGTGTCTTAGGATGAGAATGAGACAGTAGGATCAGAAGTAATGGGAGGAAGCTAAAGTGAGGCAGATTTTGGCCTAAAGTGGCTCAGAATCCAACCTTGGAATGGAATGGAATGGAATGGATGGGTGGATGGATGGATGGATGGATGGATGGATGGATGGATGATGGATGGATGGATGGGTGGATGGGTGGACTGCCCTCCTAAGTAGTGAATTGTCTCCCTACCACAGGAAGTTTCCCAAGGAGGTTGGACCAGCACTAGTCAGGGACCTTGTAGAGTATGAATGTGAGATTGAACTTGACCTCAAGGTTTCCTTCCAGCTGGGAGGATGGAGGCTGCTATCGGGGGCCGGGATACGGTCCGAAGGAGGTTGGGTGTGCGGGGTGATAGAACCCGATGGGGTTGGGGGCATGAGGAAGAGGAGAGGGGAAGGGAGGGGAGGGGGCGGCACTGCCGGGCGCGGCCTGCAGGGGGAGCCGGCGGGCGGGCTGAGACAATCGCGGGGAGCCGGCAGAGCGGGGCTGCGCGGGGCGGGGGCTGCGGGCTGTCTGCCGGAGGAGTAGGAGGAGGAGGAGGAGGAGGAGGAGGAAGAGGAGGAGGAGGAGGAGAAGGAGGGAGGGGCGGGCGGTGGCCCGGGCCTGTGCCTGTGCGCGGGGGCAGGCAGCGGCAGGGGCAGCGGGCAGCGGGCGGATGGGATGGGCCGCTAGCTGCCGGGGCTGCCAGGATGCCGCCGCGGAGCGGGCGCCTTCTCCTGCTGCTGCTGCTGCCCTTGCTCCTCGGAGACGCTTCCCGAGCCCGGGGCAAGTCCCCTCCGGAGCCCCCCAACCCACAGGGTGAGTACAGGGGCCCCCGGGGCGGGGGCGGGGGAGCCCAGCCTCGCCAGGCCCCTATCTTCCCTGCAGAACCCCCCTCCCATTCTCTCTTCCTCCATTCTCCTGCAGCCCCAAATCCCACCCCAGCCCCCTCCCCCGAGGACGCCCAGAAAGCTATTGGAGCTGGGGGGAGGGGGCCAGGCAGATTTCCTCGCTCCATTGGGGGGCGTGGATCCTGTGCTGGAGGGGCGATGGGGAGCAGGGGCGGGGCCGGGGTGTCGGGAAGGGAGACACAATGGGGAGGGCAGGGGCTCCCCGAAACCTCTTCCCTCCGTGGGTTTCTTTCCCCTTTGGCCCACCCAAACGGGCACTGCCTGAGCCATTGTCTGCCTGAGACACCCATCTTACTACTAGATGAGGGGTCCCCCGTTGATCTCCCCTCTGTCCCCACTGGGGCCTGACACCTACTCCTTTGCTAGATGTGGAGACCCCTCATTGGTCCCCCCATCCCTCTCCCCTCCCTCCCGGCCCTGACAAATAACCCCACTGCTAGATGTTGGGTCACCCACTGGTCCCCTCTGGGCCCTGACACCAGCCCCACTGCTAGATATTGGATACTGACATTGGTTCCCCCATCTTCCTTCTGGGCCCTGACACCAGCCCCGCTATTAGAGATGGGATACCCCCACTGGTCCCCTTCTTCCTTCTAGGCTCTGAGACCACCCCCACCTCGATACAGGATTGAGTATAGGGGTGTACAATCTCAAAGTTAGTACTGATGAGGAGGGAGCAGGTTTGTGTTGAAGGTAGGGGATTAGAACAGGAGGGACCCAGGTCCCTGCAGTCCTTGTGAACTCTGAGGGCACTGTGGGGTGTGGGACCCATCAGGCTGGTCTACACTGGAAACCATAGATCTACAATGGGAACCATACTATGGGACAATCTGTAGAACAGGAGGCATAGGAGGCTGGTGGCCTGAGTCCCAAGTTAGTCCAGACTGGACTGTTCCTCCCTCTTGTGCCTCAGTTTCCCTATACTTTTCTCCCCTTAGCATGGAGGACACACCTCTGTCCTTCCTTAGGCTCAGGGTTTGTTAAGTGGCTGTAGAAGCTGGGTTTTTCCTCCCTTCTCCCTTTCATCTCCTGGGTCCTTGCAAGGAGTGGAGATTTAAGGGAAAGAAACAGACTTCCTGCCAAGCTCCCTCACAAGGGCTCCTGACACTGGGCCCCCATTATTTGGTCCCTGCCCATCCCTGGCTCTTCCAGTCTCTAGCGACTGCCGGATGTGTTTAATCCTCCTCCTCACACACATATACACACACACCTCTCTCTGTCAGCCGCTGCCCCTCTGCTCCCTCTCCCCCAAAGGGGGAGTCTCTGCTGCTTGGGGTGGAATTCACCTCCTTCCCCCATCAGTTAGGTTGTGCCTTTAATCCTCCTCCAACTCCTGTCCCTCTGGGGCTTGGGGTGGGTGTAGGGGAGAGGTTGACTTTCAGTTCTGAGCACAGTATTTCCCCTCCCTCCCCCAGGAGTTCAGCAGGAAAAGCCGGGGGGGAGGGGGAGTCTGGCTGGGAAAGGGGACAGGATTTCCTCCTGGAAAGTGGCAGAGCTGAGCCCCTGGGGTGGGAGAAAATGAAACATATAGTAAGTTAAGTATGGGAGGGGGCAGGGCAGGTCCTAGATTCCAGGGGAAGTTGAGTAAAGTAGCTCCTTTCATGGCAAACCAGGGATAACCTGGGTCACAGGGAGGCTGGGAGCTTTTGACTGACTCCTTAGTATGGTGAGCCATCACCAAAATACTACTTTT